TGAAATAGAATGTGTTTAAGACAGAGAGAGTTACTGCTGGCAATTCATCAATCAAGCTGCTCTTCAGCTGCTCTGTCACTGTTCATGCTACTGCAGAGAGATGGGTCCTGTCTCTCTAGCATCTCTTTGTAGATACCGCCTTCAAAAGATTACAAAACTGTTAGGTTCTCCTTGCAGTTACTCAAGGATAAGAAAGGACCAACCAATTCTCTGTCCACTTCCCAATTGCAGCAGACTAGCTGGGATGTTCTTTGGAACGTATCTGGGAGAGAGACATACTCTTTCCTCTAAGTTTGAAAAGCATCCTCGCATTGTGTAGCCATCTTTCCTCATTACGGAGAATGCTCCGGTCTATTGAAAGAAAGACGACGCAGAGAAATACACAGAGTTCCAGAGGTGTCTTGGCTGCATCAAGTTCTTGATTCCGATCAGGGTTCACCACTCTCACGAATTGCTTGTGCAAGAAACCCTCCCAAGTCACATGCCCACAATTCCTTTTGCTGCTTTGCTTTTCATTTCAGCTAGTGTGAGATGGATTCTTGCTTGCAACCAAAAGGAACCCAGGAAACAAAAAGTACCTTTTTTTCTCTTATAAGGGGAAGCTACCCACATAGTCAGTCCCATTCACATACAAATATTTCACAGTCATAAAACAACCACTGTAAAGATAACAGGCCACATGGAGTCATCTCCCCACAAAACACTTCTTGGTCCCACTCCTGTGATCCTTTCCAGAGTTAGGTAGCCACATTGCCAGATAGCTCCAGCCAGAGTTCTGGGATTTCATCTGTGGCTTCTCTACTCTCATCTTAAGATATCTGTGTGCCCCCTAATCTTCACAGAGCACAGGGTAGAAAGAAATTGTCCCGAATAAGAATATGAAGACAAGCCAGAGAGCCTGGGAGCATCACTATACCCCTGCTCCCAACTCCATTGCCTGCATCTGGAACACAAAGGTCACAGGCTTGGCTAGTATCATGGGTCAAGTCGCCATATATCTGTCTTCTGATAAGTCCGTCAAGCATGGCTGAGGGTCTGGTAAAGAAGGCAGTAGATGATCCTGGTCTCATCACCTGCCTCCCTGTTACTTGCCAGAGCTTTGTGAACTGTGGGTTATGAGGTTCTGCGATCTGAGCAAAAGCAGTTGAGAGTGTAGTCCCTGGCACGTTTACGTGAGAGCAGGTTAGAACTTACATCTAACACAGGTAAGTGCTGTTCATGGAACTTGTCCTTTGTATTTAATTTGGGCTTTTTCCATTTTCGTGCACATGTGTATATGTGTGCACATGTGTGCATGCGTGTCTACATATGTATATGCACATATACGTGGGAGAGAGTGCAAATGGAGGTCCAACATTGATGTCAGGAATCATCCTCTGTTACTCTTCCACCTTGTTCATTGGAGCAAGGCCTCTCAGTCAAATCCAGAACTCTTTGATATAGCTAGTCTCCCGAGCTAGCTTGCTCTGGAGATTCCATCTCCTTCTTCGGAGCCTGGAATTACACCCACCTGTACATGGATTCTGGAGACTCGAACTTGGGTCTTCATATTTCCCTGGCAAGGGCTTTAACCACTGAACCATCTCCGCGGCTCCGAAACTTGTCTTCTAATACACAGAGACATGGTCACGTGCACAAACATACACAGGTGGTCTGTACTGGATTGCAGTGCCATACATCATCAACAACTCCGAGAGAGGCGGCACAAGAGTTCCAGAGAAGCCACCTTAGAGTCAGCCTTCCTTTGTTTTTTTTCTGAACCACTTTCTCCATAATTCATTATAGTTCCTCAGCCATTAAGAGGTGGCTATCCAACTCTCCACTGGCCAGACAGTCTTCTCAGCTACAGGAGAGGCTGGCTCTCTGTTCCTGTACCTTAATAGTGCCTTTGTAAGCCCCAAAGCAACCGCTGGATAGACAATCCGTAAATAAGTCTATGTGGTGTGTACCAAAGCTGTTTCCAGCAGGCTGTGGCTGGATTCACCTAGGTCTGTACAGTCCATGAGTTACTGAGCTCTGTCTCAGCTCCTGGTTTCTGCTGTCAGGAGACAACAGAAATACAAGATCATATATATGTATATATATGTGTGTA